AATAAAAGGAAAGTAGGCGGTAGAGGAGTCATTTTCTTTACTCATCCATAAACAACATCCATTTTGTTATTAAATATGATAAAAAGTACGTCTGATTCTGTATAGTAAAATCTAACCGGAAGTTGACTTTCTTACTACAAGACCTTTTGGTAAAACTGTCTTGATTTCCTCTTCATGCAAGATTCAAGAAAGCAGTTTTTATCTTGTCAATTTTTGCGAGTCTCTTCTAAACGAGTATTACAACTCTAACATGAAGGGAAATGAAGGACATTTTAATTTTTTGCCATGTGACTCTTTTGCCTTTTTTCGGTTTTTCTTTGCCGTCATCGCCAACCGATCGCGTTATTATACGACCAAATCACTCAAACCCGAATAAGGTCAAATTAACCAGCGAGAGAAGAAATAGTTCAACACGGCACCTTTTTTCTTAAAACTTAATTTCTATTGAACAAATTAATTTCGTCATTAATTCAAATTATTGAAATTATCCACAAATGATAGATTGTTATTTGCAATTGAGAAGAGAAAAACAAAATCTAGATTTGATGAAACTTTCAGTAACTGTTTGAATTTGACGTCGGGCGTGACGTGTCTTTTTGTGCGATAGCTCACGGCGCTTATTTGTTGGCAGTTTTGGATTACATATGTTTGTCGTCGATATTGTCAGTTGATTGTTGTGTGTGACACTTACATTGGAGAGGATCTGCGATACATTCCTGAGGGTCATTCATTTCCGCTTTACAAGTTACGATGACCGGCGGTTTGTACTAGTTTCATTAATTTGCACCTCATCCTTCTACTACATGTACCACTCGTCATTTTACCCTTCGTAGTCAAAAGAAGTAGGCCATTACCATGCGTATAAATACAATTTATATGGAACCAGCCAATCAGAGTAGCTGAATGTTTTATTACACGCGAGTTATAACAACTTATGTAATTTCTACCACTGTATATCATGGTAATCCTATGATAATGTATTATGCCTCATCTACACACAGACGTATATATACATTATGTAATATATACGTCTCTGATCTACATAACAGCGTACCGCAATGGATTACATTGATGACATGACAAGGAAATAAATCGTCACCCTTTTCACTCTCCCGCTCGAGTTTCCTCGGTAATATTTCACTCATTTGGATCTCTCGACAAAAACGAGTACGATGTATCACACCATGGTTCTAAGTGAATGAAGCAGACTGGAACATTCACGCATACGCCTGATCATTGCTATGATATCATATTTCTGTGTACAATTACCGCCCTTTAGAGAAATACCACTTGATTTTCATTTTCCTTTCCCCCTTATTTAGAGTTTGTGTTTTATTTCGTTTAATTCGGAATTTCGGGGTTTGTTGCCCCTAGTGAATCCTTTCCTTAGGTTTTGGTTTCTGGGAATATGATTTACTTCAGGAAACAAATCTTCATATTTCCTGTTATATGGGCAATGAAATCTACATATCTATTTTTACAAAATAACTCCAACCAACCAACAATTAACCAAATCCAGAAGGAGGTATAAAGCAGTATAAGTTGGCTACATCATGTATTTTTTTTTCATCCTCTATTTCTGTCTATCTCAACACCCTGAGCATCGTTTATCACTTGTGCGACCTGGTACTGGTGGGTCGTGTTTGCACGGCTTCGTATGAATATGAATAAGTACTTTGTCCGGATGTTCTGACCAGAGACTGACCAGACACCGACCTTCTAGAATACATAATAACCGTTGAGACGATTACATTTACATACTTAATTAATCATTGTCATCCAAATACCCAATTACGTGATGGCTGGACATACGAGACACAGACTAGGACATCAAGTAATACCATTGCAAACGGTCGTCCTGATATACGTGGTTGCACTGTAGTTGAACCCGTTCAAGCGGAATACCTTCTCGACCATTTGGAATACATGATACACTGAAAGTCCGTAAACAACAGAATCCAGATGGTGGTCCGGATTATACAGGTTTTCAGATTATACAGATTCATGTCAAGATAACAACGTATACAGCAGGGCCGTGATGAAGATCTGATACATATTTCCGCAACTTAAAAGGTTCATATAAAGAATACAGTGGTACCTACATTAAGAAAGGAAAACAATAGAATTGTTTTAAGGTATTTTATTGTGACTGTGCTCAATAGCTAAGCTTATATTCTATGCTACCGAGGTAGACCATTTTATGGAAGTAATTTTGTAGATTTTGTTCAGTAACCTACTTTTTGGTGTATCTATGACTGCAGGTGCATTAATTAGACTTAAGTCAATTTTTTAAATACCATAAAAATAATTCTTGTCTTTGAACTCAAGATAAACAAGTTTATATTACAATATGTACATACTCATATACATAAAATTACATTCCGATATGAAAATAAACAACATTCTTAGGACTTTAGGCTAAAGATTTTCATGATCACAGCGCTTTTCTCTTGGTCCAGGTCAAAGATCATTAATATGTACTTACTTACAGATGCGCTCGGAGGTAATGACGATGTACCAGGTGCTCTGCTGGAGGTCTGGTACCACGGCAGGTATAAACTAATAAATTATGAGGTAAAAAGTTCAAAACATTGCCTTCTATTGGATCAGCATATGGTGTTTTATCTAGCCTTCAGTCAAAGGTTTAACATATGTTTAAATATAGATAGTCATAAAAACATAGCCCAGGTCGATGATTTCATGTTATTTACGTTTCGAACACGGTATGTATTCAGGTTTGTTTTCAAAACAGCAGCAGAGTAACAAACATTTAAGATATAATCAGGGTCGTTAACGCTGAATATGTGTTTGCTACGTCATCACTTTCTGTGTTCATGTATTACGCAAATAACAGCGTACAGACGAGAATCATTATATCGAACCTCGTAATACTTGAAGTTCACGTTGTCGGAGTTCATTTTTCCTCACTGATTTTTCTACAAATCGAGATGCTACCTCCCTAATTTGGTTTTGTTGGACCCCGGTCGTAATCATGGTTGGAGCTTCATTTTGGACAAAAGACAGCCGACAAAAAATATACAACGTTGACCGCGCCTATAAGTTACAGCAGTAAGCAAGACAACTGTGTGGGGAACTTGTTAATCTCAAATACTGCACAGCAAGATACAACATATATCTTTGAACGGAATACATGTACAGATTGTTAATTAAATTTCCGGTGCGAAAATATGGCAACAATAATGCTTCTATAACAACCACAAATATGTACTCTAAAGTATGGAACGCCTCTGAACATTAAAGAGGACTCATCTCATTTCGTCGCAGAGGAACAAAACAGACATATGGAATTGAATTGTGTCGCATCAAACACTATACAATATTTCGAGGCCATGCTTGAACGTTACCAATTAAAACAAGTGATATACTACACCCAAAGGGAATACGGTGATATTCATTCGTAGGTCGAGAGACATATTGAATATCTGAATATGAGTTATGATTTAATTTCGCAATAGATGTGTTTGCTGTGTATCCAGAACATGCATTTATCTGTCATTAAACATTTCCACTTCCGTAATGCAATGTTTGTCATATATGTTCCGGAAAGTCTTATTTATCTATTGATTTTTTGTGTTTCAAATTGTATTGCGCTACCTGCAGAGGACTATCGGTGTATCTGTATATTTAAAATGTGTTTTTTGATACCATGTCCTATGCCGTCCCAACACCCTGATACAAGCAAACGGGCCAGTTCATCAAAATAGTCATATCAAAAGTTATTAATTTTGATTGTAGGAAGCGTAGAATCAAATCCGGAAATGCGAATCCGGTTTAATTGATAAGAGCTCCGGGCTAGCAGCTACAATGTAGTTATCGGCTCAATATAGAGAGGAAACCTGTTGATCAGCTCGGGCACTGATACGAAAACAAATGAAGAACATTTGCTACTATTGACAGAAAAGGGAAATAGACTTTATTGGCGTATGACATATAGCTACAATGTACGTATGCATAGCTGTTCATGCAGGCGTTTCATTCACTCTAATTTCGGTACAACTGATTCCAAATCACACATTACCTGACCCTGATCCACCCCAGTTAATATAATAAGTCTGACACAATGTGTTATTGTCAATCATTCTTACTTTACTTATAACTATTGACAGATAAAAAAAAAATGGTTTTGATAAAAAAACTGGTTTACAACTTCCATATCATATTCCCAATCAACCTTGCCTAATATCAGCTCTCGGGCCTCCTACCCCTCGGGCTGATATTGGGGATATTAGGTCCATAAGGCATACTATATGGACAGGACCTTGGGTTAACCTATAGTTGTCCTCGGGGAAATGAAACAGATGGTTATACGTACCGAGTTTATAGGTTTTACATTTGCCCTGACAATAAACGGTTCATCTATATGTAAGTACAACAAAGAAAGCTTCTGAAACACATTGTATCGACTAATACACAATACCGAAGATCCCACTTGTTCTATTGAAGACTGGCAGATCTATTAACTATACGCTCCACAATATCTTTTTTTTCGCTAACGACTGACATGTTCACTTACAAATTAAAAGAATAATCGGCGAACGCCTATTATTTGTAGCAAGTAATATTAATAAAAAACGTTAAAAACTTGCCCTCTCGGGGTAATTAACGGCAGTAACACAGCCTTGCGGGCAGTTACTGGCTCAATGTAAATACACTTCGAGTAAAATCATCGATACACGTCAAAATATTTGTATTTTTATTAATACGTTATAGATTATGTTCATACACAAATCGATGATATACATTATAGGTGACATACAAAGGGGCAATGGGATCGAAATTTCGTTTCAATTGTGTCACTCAAAACAAGTTACCTTTAGTCGATACCGTATCGACTATTTGTACTGGCGAGCCGTTTTTCAGCATCTGAAGCTATGCCTTCCCTAGACTTGCTACAGACATCCATTCAACCCTTTCTGTGACGCCCAGTCACTATTTATATAGGTCCCACTCAACCACCGACACCGACTTTATAGATAACGCTCAGCTGGTGGATCAAGGCGTTTGTAAAACACAAAAAGAGAAGCCGGGTGTGGAATCGATCCGTAGTTCACGGTGTAGATCGCGCTGGTTTGGTGTGTATGCTTTAGAGGCTGTTAGTGAAGCAAGGCACTGACAGATCATTCAGTCGGTACCGAGGACGCCGAACAGATCACTCACACCCGCGGAACGTCGCACTATCGTAGCGTCAAGTGTATCTCTCTCACGGATCGTCACTTTTAAAAAAATATACCAAGTTTTAAAGTATTTGTATTAATTGAACAATTCATTTCCTTTTAACAACATAAGGCGATGCTGTGTTTGAAGTTTATATGTGTTTGAGTTTGATCTTGTGTTGACGGGATATACCTTCTTAGTGAATCTGTGATAAATAAATAAAATATACGCATGGAAGTGTGATACCTACCGCCAGTATGGGATGTAGGCAGACCAAAGAGACACCGTGTGTTACGGAAATCACCGAGTTCGACCCCCTCACGGATAACGGGGTAACCACGATCCCTAGTGTGGACCCACGTCTGCCCCTAAATGCCCGACAGGTATTCAAGCTTAAACAGTCATGGAAAGGTATTAAGCGGAAGATAGCGGAGACAGGAGTCGAGATGTTCGTTAGGTAAGTACATAATGAGCTAGATCAAGTATTGCATTTTTTTATTCATTGGTAACGTATTGTTTTTCCCCCTATTTATTGTCAACCACTGAAATTTGTAAATAATACACGAACATTTGTTATTGACCAGTAAAACACAGTTTTCCCAACAATGGAACATGACTGTATTGACCACAGCAACGCAATTCCATTGACCAATTAAAGTCTATTGTTTTCCACAATGAAACACTGTTGTTTTGGCCAACGAAAGATCATTGTTATAAACAATGAAACATTATAGTATTGACCAATGACATATAGCTGTATTGACATATGAGAGACTGTTGTTTTGAACAATGGACCACTGTATTGGCCAATGAAATGTATACAATTATGTTGACCAATGAAATCGGGTTCTATTGAACAATTAAATTCAATGATATTGACCAATGGAACAGGTTGATCAAGAAACACAATAGTTTATCCCGTAAAACACGCTCACAAAACGAAACGAACATGATGTCCAGACAACTTTGACGATAAGTGTATCTACTAGAAGAAAAAATCAGGGAGTTCAGTCATTCTGGTAATAGTTGTTGTATTAAATGACTTCAAGTACTATGTTGTGCTTGAGCAAGGTTCCGTTTTCGGGAGGGATGTGGTTGTGACCTTGAGTACGAAACCTAACCCTTTTAGCTCAGCTCCTCCTGTATATAGTTGGATATAACGTCTTTCGTACTTAAGCAATTTAATGACTTGGCATTGTATATGAGTCGTTAAACATATGGACCCATAACAAGAAGATTATCTAAACAACCTCCAGCACACACATACACACACATACACCCTCGCACTTTATTGTAGTACTTAAGGTGACCAGGGGTGGCAAGATACGTGTGAGTACGACTGCTCCCATCATGTCTCATTGCAAGGATTTTATTTATATTTCCTACCTTGAACGTTAAGCGCCTTAAGAGCAATGTTCCTCGATATTAAATTGACATGCTATTTAAATATATTTTATTTATAGTACAAAATGTTTTTAAAGAGGGGATCTGAAACTTTTATCTCGGAAAATGAATAATCACAGTATTGTTTAACTATAAGCTCAAGTACAAAAGTAGTCCAGAGGTTAATTAAATTGAATTTAATAAGCTCTGATTATATTTCTGGATGGTCCCTTTGGGATCTTTGCTCTTCGATGTACAATTAAATAAAGTATACCAGGTGTTTCCTCATAATCCCGCTTGTTTGTTTCGACACCTTACCTTTGAGGTCGTTCTGTGCCTTGATTAAAGTCCTTATGACAATTGGTACTCGACGAGTGATGCCAGAGCGAGCTGTTTGATACCCCGACTGTCTGTTGTCGATGTGACAATGTCACACGTTGAAGGTTATGGAGATTGACACTTAGGGGAGGTCTAACATTGTATTTTTAATAAGGTTGACAGAAAATGATACATAATTAATAGGATCGCATTAAATGTAGTCGACGTCATGGTACCCGGTGTACAATGCGTGTCTGTAACAATAGCCACACTTATCAGGAACTCTGAGAGTCACTTTAACCTCTATGTGGAACCCCTGATGGCGTTGGGCTGATGGCAATGGTATATAATTAAATATACAAAAAACGATTTCATTAAAAGTCGGTTGAAACAGATACACTACGCTCTCGTCTGTGAAACAATCAGAACTACCTTGTTTATAAGTGAATGAACCCTTGAAAGTGTAGTGAACATTAGTATACGGGAGATCTTAGCATTGTTTAAGTGAGCTTGGCGAAGTGAATTTACCAACAATCTAAGTGAACCTTCTTACTAAGCCTAACAATCCCTAAATGAGTTTGGCGTCTAGGTGAGCTTTACGCTTAACGAACTATTTAAGAGTGGTTTACGAACTCTTTAAGTCCAACCCTGACAAATTCTCTAAGTGATCTTAGCGAACTCTCTCAGTTACCTTGACGATGTCTCTCAGCTTCCTTGACGAACTTTCTCAGTTACCTTGACAAAATCTCTCAGTAACCTTGGCGAACTCTCTCAGTTACCTTGACGAACTCCCTTAGTTTCCTTGACGACTCTCTCAGTTACATTGTCGACCTCTTTCAGTAACTTTGGCGAACTCTCTCAGTTACCTTGGCGAAATCTCTCAGCTTCCTTGGTGAACTCTCTCAGTTTCCTTGGTGAACTCTCTCAGCTTCCTTGCCGAACTCTCTCAGTTACCTTGACGAACTCCCTCAGTTTCCTTGACGACTCTCTCAGTTACATTGTCGACCTCTTTCAGTAACTTTGGCGAACTCTCTCAGTTACCTTGGCGAAATCTCTCAGCTTCCTTGGTGAACTCTCTCAGCGTCCTTGACGAACTCTCTCAGTTACCTTTTAATAATTATCATTGACGAACTCTATCAGTTTTCTTGGCGAATTTTCTCAGTTTCCTTGGCGAACTCTCTCTGTAACCTTAACGACCTCTCTCAATTTCCCTCGCGAACTTTCTCTGTTTCCTTGGCGAACTTTCTCATCTTCCATGGCGATCTTACAAAGTTTTCAGGACGAACTATCCCAGTTTCCTTGGCGAACTTTCTCTGTTTCCTTGGCAAACTCTCTCAGTTTCCTTGGCGAACTTTCTCTGTTTCCTTGTCGAACTCTCTCAGTTACCTTGACGAACTTTCTCAGCTTCCTTGGCGAACTCTCCCAGTCTCTCTCAGTTTCCTTGGCGACCCCTCTCAGCTTCCGTGGCAAACACTATCAGTCACCTTGGCGAAATCTCTCAGTTTACTTAGCAAACTCTCTCATTTACCTTGACGACCTTTGAAATCCCATTCCTGATGATGTAATAGTATAAATTCGATTGTACCATTTTGATAAGTTTCTAAGAGGCAGGAGGCCTACCAACAGATTGGGTTTGATCAAGTATCAGTTCAGTTTATTTTAACCAAAAGTAATATATGGATGCATGGATACAAATCTCAAAATTTCAAATTTAGTTTTCACTGGTTATAAATAGTAATATATAGATGTAGTAAGACAAAAAACAAGAAACTTAAAAAGTCAAATTCATCACGAAATAGAGATTTTAGAGATTTTACATGATGTACGTCGTAATGAATATCTTTCTAGTATGTTTATACATCACAAATATGATCTAGTTAGTTCTTCTGACGTCAATGATAGATGTGTGTGCAGTAGTCAAATCACAATTAAATTGCAGAATGACATCGTTTGAGTACGACAGTATCAATTTGTAATACCGATCCAGGTGTAACCGATTCAACTATCTGTACCCAGTAATAATGTGAACATGGTACTAATGTGCACACTGCCATGCTGTGTACCCAATACTAATTTGTGACCTGCTATATTATGTACCCTGTACTACTTTGTCACCTGCAATACTGTGTACACTGTACTGATTTGTCACCTGCAATACTGTGTACCCAAAACTATTTTGTCACCTGCAATACTGTGTACCCAAAACTATTTTGTCACCTGCAATACTGCGTACCCAATACTAATTTGTCACCTGCAATACTGTGTACCCAATACTAATTTGTCTCCTGCAATACTGTGTACACTGTACTGATTTGTCACCTGCAATACTGTGTACCCGGTACTAATTTGTAACCTGCAATACTGTGTACCCGGTACTAATTTGTCACCTGTATTACTGTGTACCCGGTACTAATTTGTAACCTGCAATGCTGTGTACCCGGTAATAATTTGTAACCTGCAATACTGTGTACCCGGTACTAATTTGTAACCTGCAATACTGTGTACCCGGTACTAATTTGTCATCTGCATAACTGTGTACGCTGTACTAATTTGTAACCTACAATGCTGTGTACCCGGTAATAATTTGTAACCTGCAGTACTGTGTATCCGGTACTAATTTATCACCTGCAATACTGTGTACCCGGTACTAATTCGTAACCTGCAATGCTGTGTATCCGGTACTAATTTGTAACCTGCAATACTGTGTGCCCTGTACTAATTTGTCACCTGCAATACTGTGCACCCGGTACTAATTTGTAACCTACAATACTGTGTGCCCGGTACTAATTTGTAACCTGCAATACTGTGTATCCGGTACTAATTTGTAACCTGCAATCCTGTGTGCCCTGTACTTATTTGTAACCTGCAATAATGTGTACCCGGTACTAATTTGTAACCTGCAATACTGTGTGCCCGGTACTTATTTGTAACCTGCAATAATGTGTACCCGGTTCTTATTTGTAACATGCAATATTGATTATTCTGGGGGCATGCCTCGCTAGTTTAAGATAAATGGTGACCCGGTTATAGTGTGTAACCCGGTACTACTACTGTATACCCGGCAATACTAGGGTACACAACAATATTGGGCTTCCGTAAGTAATGTTCAGCGATTCTCTACTTTCAAGCAATAATGATACATAATGTATGTTGTACCCAGAAATACTTCATTTAGTAGGAGGGGATACTGGATGTTAAATCATGATGCCAATATTAGATAGAATGATATTTGTTCACGCTGCCGACACAAGAAGTTCCGTGTTGGCTGTTAGCGATGACAAAACTATCTAAAACGTAGGCGAATATCATCTTTTCAATCTTCCAGATGTCGAGCGGAAGTTGTTTGTGTTTTCCATATAGTACTGTATTAAGTACCCTCGACTTTCGTACGTAATGTTTATTGAAAAGTTGAAACAAGAACCTCACTTTTTAGCAAATTAATGATTTTCCACTAAATGGGCTACACTTTTTACACGTGCCGGCATCCTATTGGGCGATCATAATGACCGATTGCTTCCTGGGGGATCCTGGGTTGTCTAGCCTGCAACATAAGCTACCCAAATTATGATTAACGACGACCCAGATACAAAGCTTTGATCTTGGATGATGCTGTGATGGCAATATGTCCGTAACCTGACAGAGGCCATGTTTCATGTGTGTATAAATAACCAGTATTTGTGACGTTATAAATGGTTACAATTTACTCTACCGGCTCCAATGGCGACAAGACCTGTGTCTGTACACCGTTTGTAGTAG